AATGCCTGCCAGCCTGGCCATCAAAGGCCACATACGAAGCCAGGACCAGGTTAGCATGAAAGTCAGGTTGGTCCGGTGAGACCCCCGACCCTGAGCTTCCCCTCCCCCTTCTTCCCCTTGCTTCCCCCTCCCAGCTCCCTCCTCCCAGGTTTCCCCCTCCCCTCTCCCACCTCCGTTTCCCAGTCTCCCCAGAGGTTCAACCCCCCAGTTTTGTTCAATAAACCCAGTTTCTATTTTTGAACATACGTGTCTTTTATTTGACATCAGGAAGGGGGGCGAGGGAGGGGTAAGTGGAAGGACGTGAGGGAGGAATGGGGCACGAGCCCCCAGTGGGGAGGATCGGGGAGGCTCTGAGGGCTCCCCAGGGTGGATGCTCCCGATGGACTCCCACTCCCCCGGATAGCAGCCTGCAGCAAGTGCAGCCGGGCTGATGGCAACGACCCCAGGAGACACTTGGGGAAAGGCTGCTGAGTTGTTTTACAAAGCGCCTTGCGAGAGTTAGCTCATGCTACCAGCCACATTGGGAAAGCTCTTTGAGCGGGCCCGAGACTCCCAGCAATTGCCAAGTGGTCTGTAAAAAGGACGTTAGACTCCCCAGCCAATCCAGGCACCTCACTTGGAAGAAACAAGAATGAAAACTTGGGGCGGGAGGGGGCGGGGAAGGGAGAATGTTCTTTGTCTTGTCCCAAGGTGGGACCCCAAACGAAACACCTCCTGATAGTCAAGCCCAGACCCTTTGGTGCGCGGTCCGGCGGTCGTGGTACCCAGGGCAGCACACCCATCTCTTAGGCCTGCTGCAGGCGGGTGGGCAGCAGAACAGGCTTGGCATGAGTGTGCCATGCCCCCGCTAGGCGCGTGAGAAGCGAAACAGACGGAGCAGGGACATTACACGAGGCCTTTGTGTGCACACGGTCTGTATTCGTTACTGCTCAGCGCTGCCCATCCGTGCTAGAGGCTACCCTCTCCTCTGGGCTACCCATAGGGCTCTGCTTTGGGGCAGGGACAGGAGCACCTGGCTTCTCTGTGCCGCTGGTTGCAGTGCTCTGTGACATGCCCAGAGCTGACCAAGAGCCTGGAGTCAACCTGAGGGTACCCGGGTACCAAGCCTCCTGGAGCCAGGACTTAGTGTCCGACCCAGGCACCCAGCCAGGCCGCAGCTGGGATGCAGTGTCGCCGGCCCACACTCTGCCTGGCCCCATTTGTGGTCACTAAGTCATTTCATTTCTTTCTCAGTTGCTTGGGGGGTTCACGCTGTTTGCTGATCTTCACTCGGGCTGCAGAGGGCGGCTTTGGGCCTTCCAGTAAGGCTGCAGAACCCCCCTTGTCACACTCCCCTGCTTACTGAGGCCTTTGCTAAAGCTGTTCGGACTGTCCCAGGGGTGCAATACTCAGAGCTGCTGGGCTTGGCCTGCCCCCGGGTTGACTTTGCAGGCAGCTTCCTGTCCCCTGCCAATAGCTCTCTTCATCCAGCAACCAAAGTGACTAGACGTGCTGCTGCAGCCCGCTGGATTCCAGTGACCACGCAGTGGCGTGGGCCTTTCCACGCAGCACGCCTGTGGCAGAGGGGGGCCGCTAGGACCGAGTGATGTCTACAGCCTCATGTTGCGCGCCAGCCAATCGGCTGTAAGGGTGAGTGTCACGTGGGACGGATTCGATTTTCTTAGCCGCCTCATTGCTATGCCCAGGTTACGGGCGTCACCTTGGGATACAACCGGGGTTTAAACTCCAAGTCGTTCGCCCTCCATACAGGCCCGTAGTGCTCACATTCACAACCCTGCATCTTCGGTATCTTGCAACAACATCCATTCACGGGCTGAGTCATGAAATACAGGCTCTTATCTCCTCCTGCAGCCGGGCTAAGACTTCTCCCACAACCACCGCCCCCTGCACACGCAGCAGTTGGCTTTTGCGCAGTGAATGGAGCAAACCTACATCTTTGGGGTCCTTTGCCTTTCACATGGAAACGTCCGTCTCCTGCTGGGACATGGCGGTCCTCACTCACGCGGCTCCCCCACATTTGCATGGGCCTCCACTCAATAGTGGGAAGGGGGTAGTTTTTAGAAGGTAAAATAAAAAAGAACGAGTCAAAAATTACCTAGAAAAGTTAGATGCCTGCAAGTCACCAGGGCCTGATGAAATGTATCCTAGAATACTCAAGGAGCTGATAGAGGAGAGATCTGAGCCTCTAGCTAGCATCTTTGGAAAATCATGGGAGACTGGAGAGATTCCAGAGGACTGGAAAAGGACAAATCTAGTGCCCATTTATAAAAAGGGAAACAAGAACAACCCAGGAAACCACAGACCAGTCAGTTTAACTTCTGTGCCAGGGAAGATAATGGAGCAAGTAATTAAGGAAACCCTCTGTAAACACTTGGAAAGTGGCAAGGTGATAGGGAACAGCCAGCATGGATTTGTAAAGAACAAATCATGTCAAACTAATCTGATAGCTTTCTTTGATAGGGTAATGAGCCTTGTGGCTAAGGGAGAAGCGGTGGATGTCATATACCTAGACTTTAGTAAGGCGTTTGATACGGTCTCGCATGATATTCTTATCAATAAACTAGATAAATACAACTCAGATGGGGCTACTATAAGGTGGGTGCATAACTGGCTGGATAACCGTACTCAGAGAGTCGTTATTAACGGTTCACAATCCTGCTGGAAAGGCAGAACAAGTGGGGTTCTGCAGGGTCTGTTTTGGGTCCGGTTCTGTTCAATATCTTCATCAACAATTTAGATATTGGCATAGAGAGGACGCTTATTAAGTTTGCAGATGATCCCAAGCTGGGAGGGGTTGCGACTGCTCTGGAGGATGGGTCATAATTCAAAATGACCTGGACAAATTGGAGAAATGGTCTGAGATAAATAGGATGAAGTTTAATAAGGACAAATGCAAAGTGCTCCACTTAGGAAGGAACAATCAGTTTCACACATACAGATGGGAAGTGACTGTCTAGGAAGGGGTACGGCAGAAAGGGATCTAGGGGTCATAGTGGACCACAAGCTGAATATGAGTTAGCAGAGTGATGCTGTTGCAAAAAAAGCAAATATGATTCTGGGCTGCATTAGCAAGACATGAGGAGTCATTCTTCCGCTCTACTCTGCGCTGGTTAGGCCCCAATTGGAGTATTGTGTCCAGTTCTGGGCACCGCATTTCAAGAAAGATGTGGAGAAATTGGAAAGGGTACAGAGAAGAGCAACAAGAATGATGCAAGGTCTAGAGAACATGGCCTATGAAGGAAGGCTGAAGGAATTGGGTTTGTTTAGTTTAGAAAAGAGAAGACTGAGGGGGGACATGATAGCCGTTTTCAGGTATCTAAAAGGGTGTCACAAGGAGGAGGGAGAAAACTTGTTCATCTTGGCCTCTGTGATAGAACAAGAAGCAATGGGCTTAAACTGCAGCAAGGGAGGTTTAGGTTGGACATTAGGAAAAAGTTCCTAACTGTCAAGGTGGTTAAACACTGGAATAAATTGCCCAGGGAGGTTGTGGAATCCCCATCACTGGAGATATTGAAGAGCAGGTTAGATAAATGTCTCTCAGGGATGGTCTAGACAGTATTTGGTCCTGCCATGGGGCAGGGGACTGGACTCGTTGACTCTTGAGGTCCCTGCCAGTCCTAGTGTTCTGTGATTCAACCGGGTCAGTGCTTTTCCATTGCCGGTTTCCTTGGTCTGCCCAGGAATGACGGTCAGTGGAACACACTGCGCAGTCACTGCCCTGGGTTTCTTTCATCCCGTCGGGGGGGTCCAGTTCTCTGATGCC